ATCCCGTGATCTGGTGCTTTGATCACCAAGCCCACACCAATCACGCCCAGTGCCTCAGACACTGCTGCTTCGGATCTCACAGCTCTGTGTGACAATCCAGGATTTCACAGCTCCGTGCTACTTTCCTCCATTCTCTTGTTTTGCTCCAAAACAAGTGTTATCTTGCTTCCAACTTCTGAGACTCTGTAGATGATCTTCAATGATGCGCAGGTCTCTTTGATGAAGATAAACACTCTGGAATGATTTATCTTGATAGCTCTGAGTGTTTTCTCTCTTTGAATATATCAAGTAAAGCACTTGATATTTTTGCTCTGCTTTGCTCTGTTTAAGAACTCTCAGAATATTTTTCTTTGAAGCTCTCTGAGTTCTTTTTCTTTTCTTTTCTCATTTCTCACTTGAAGATTTTTGGTATGCTCTGTACCAAATGAGATTTTTGCTCTATGCTCTTTCAAGCTTAATTGCTCTATTCGATCCCTTTTATGGATTCGAATTTTCTGCTCTCTTGTTCGTGAGTTTTCTCAACTGCTCTATTGCTCTTCACACATTTTCAAGTCTTCATATCTTCATCATTTTATAGCTGGTAATGAGAATCTGTCCGTTGGAAAGAGACGCTCTCATTTTTGAAATCTTGTATCTTTTTGTCAGAGATCTTATCTTATCTTCTGCAAAAGATGTCAGAAAGGATAAGCTAGGCGTTGTTAGAGCTTCATCTCCATGTAAATGGGTTCCCAAACTTCATCTGATATTTCCTCTGGTTTTATGTTGAGTGGGAATATCTGGGTCTCAGTTTTGGTGTAAAATGGCTTCTCTGATCAGCTCTGGAGTGGTCCTTGTATCTTTGGGATTTAAAAATATTCATCAATTTAATCCCATACTAGTTAAACTAGTATTTTTTCCTTGTGAGAATATTTTAACTGTAAGTTCATCTTCATCTTCTTCATTCTCACGTCTGGGTGTTCTCAGTCTTTAAACTGGCTTTGAACTTCCACCCAATTTGAATTTCTCCTTTGTAATTGACACCCAATTTCAATTGGCTTGTAATTGGCACCCAATTTGAATTGGCTTGTAATTGGCTCCCAATTGACTTTGACTTGCAATTGGCTCCCAAATTACTCCTGGTGCTTTCAATTGGCTCCCAAATTACTCTCCCAATTGACTTTGACTTGGCTCCCAAATTACTCCTGGTGCTTTCAATTGGCTCCCAAATTACTCCTGGTGCTTTCAATTGGCTCTCAAATTACTCCTGGTGCTTTCAATTGCTTCCCAATTTGATTTGAATCAAATTACTCCTGGTGCTTTCAATTGGCTCCCAAATTACTCCTGGTGCTTTCAATTGCTTCCCAATTTGAATGTTCCCAATTTGAATTGTTGACTTTGACTTCGAAATTGGCTCCCAGACTTCTCCTGGTATTGAATTTCATCTCAATTCAATTTGATCTTCTTTGAATCGGTCCCCAACTTGAAATTGCATCCCATACTACAATTTCAATTCTACATTGGCTCCTCCCATCTTGAATTGATTCCCAATTTAAACTAGCGCCCAACTCCATCAGATTAATTTAATTTGGCTTCTCAAATTTTTCCTTGTAAAATATTACTGGTGAGTTTCGAACTTAAGCCATTTCACATAACATATCAAGCATCATCCACTTTGTCCATACAGCATTTGATTAAATTTCCAATCACATTTGATGTACTCCTTTCTTTTAATAGATGTTTGATCTCCAAGTCAATTTCATGCATTCTTCCAATATTAATTTTCTTCACGAAAATTCTTCTGGGATATCTTCTTTGAGTAGCATTGACGTGAATTATTATATCATTCATCTTCTTCTTCAATTTGTCATTTTCTCCAGACAAATTCTTGATTTTAGGCTTTATATCTTCTTCTTCTATTTTCATGCATCTTCCTCTGTTTTTCTCTTTTCCAATTTAAATCATTCCCCGATCATGGTCTAAGACTCTACTAGACCTATAAATAAGATTGGGGGATCTACAAATACAAATTTGGCATATCAAAACCATTACACTTTATTCCTAACAGAAGCCTCGTCGGAAAAATCGCCGGAAAAGCCACCGGAAAAAGCCCCAAAACGAACATCAAACCCCGAGCAATGCCGAAGAAACCCGTTGGTACCCGAGTCCCATAATGGAACGACGCCGACTACACGGTGATCGGAGGTAAAGCACTCGAACCTGACCAATTCTCTCCGGAGTTGGTTGAAATGCTTAGATTCCAAGGCCTCTTGGATACCTACCTTACGATTAAAGGGGATACGTAGCCCGAATTGGTGAATGAATTCTATTGCCATTTGGTAGCTACCAAACAGAGAGACAAGTTGGAGATCACCTCCAAGGTCCGGGGGCAAGGAGATAGCGCTCTCCGAGGGCTGCTCAGCTAAGCTCCTAAAACTTACCACTACGAGTGTATCGGACTATGATCGGAAGGCTTGGGTCAGTACCCGAGACACGGGGTACACTGACTACCTCGAGTATTTATTGGATAGGGAAGACGGTTTCACTTCAGCCACAAGGCCAAATAGGAAGTGGCTAACCGCCGAGCAAAAATTGCTAGTCATGATTGTGTCCGACAACTTGTTGCCCACTAACAACAAGAGCAAGGACGTGGGGAGCTTGGAATGCACCTTTCCCTATTTCCTTAAGCACAAAGTCAAGTTCAATTTGCTCGCCCTTATGTTGAAACACATGGAATTCTGTAAATCTAGCAACCGGCTCAGCTTACCCTACGGAATGATCCTAAGTTGGATCATGGAAAGAAAGGGGGTGGACCTAAGCCATACGGAAGCCAAACCCGAGAGTGGGATGGTTTTCAATGCCCAGAACCTCCGCCGCAATGACATCTACCATGTCGGAGAGGGACTGTACATCACCCTCAAGGAGGTTTGCCTGAAATCCACAGAAGAACGATGCCTGTTGGTTGACCAGTTGGAGATCTCTAACAAAAAGCTGAGACAGGCAATGCAAGAATGTGGAGAGCAGGAGGATCAAGGAGAAGATAGCGAGTCTAACCGGCCTGAACCCGCACGGTGAAGAGTAAACATGGAGGGCCAAGACGAGAGGTCCACCAATGAGCGCATTCTCTCACGGCTCACCAGGCAGAACCAGATTATGGACGAAGGGTTCTCATCCCTGATTCTTGCGAAAAACTCATTGGACCGGAGAGTGGCTGCAATCGAGGCCAGGTTGGGCACACACGGAGCTTCAAGCTCAAGAGCAGGAAACCAAGGTAGACCCAAACTTCCCAACCACTACTTGCCGCCAACCTTACCAAACTCCTCTCTACCCCCAACAAACGACACGTGGAGCCACATTTCCTAAATCAGGAGACCGAATGCGTGACGTCCAGGGGTGATAGAATGGATCCAGACCGAGGCTTCGGGGACGAAGCCTCTCAAAAGGGAGGGAGGGTGTAACACCCCGTGTTACGGCCTCTAACCCGGACTAATTATTTAATTGCTTACCATCAGAAGAGATTTAATTAGATTAGGTTTCCCTAATTAATTAAGGTGGCCCACCATGGATCATGGACCCTTATCCTTAAACCAAACCCTTAGTCCTATAAGGAATAGAATAAGTGAATCCTTACTATTCAGACCCTAGTTAGGACTCCTAAATATATATAAGGACTTAGGAGGCACCTAGAAATCCCACCACAATTGATTCTACCACACAAGATACTCTCAGGATTTCCCCAGTCACCAAACGTAGAAGAACCCATGGAGAGAAGATCTTAGAGAAAGAACCTTAGTAGCCAAGGATATTGAATAAAGCTAAGAGGTAACCATGTCTCAACAAAACCTACTTTCCTTGCTATATCTTCTTCATTGGCTTTCTTGATATATGATTCTGTGCTCCAGTCTTTATAAAGCTTTTCCTGAGATTTATATGGTGCTCGTGAGATAATCTTGATGAGTATGTGTTAATCTTGATTCTTATGTGATAATCTTGATGTTCTTGATACCATGATAAGTTATACGAATGATCTTGTATTTTGATTATGACTAGAGCCCTAGGGTAATAAACGTGGATTTCGTATTATGAGGTTTTGGTATGTTTGGGGTGGGATTTTGCATGTTCGGGTGTTGAGTCTTGGCATGTTTAGGAGTCGTGTTAGGATGTAATTGGTATGGTTCTTGGTTTGAATCCATTACTTGAATACGTAGTGTCGTCGTTTGTACTTGAATGTGTCTGGACATGGTTTCGGGTTCCACGATGGATCACGGGACCAAAACATTACATAGAAGTCAGTGGGGGTAGGTGGGGACAGAGGTGCTCGCCACCTACCCGCTGCCCCGTGCCCACTTCCCAGCGGGCAGCCGGCGGGCCGGTGACTGCCCGTCGGACACCCGCTGGTTTGTACGCCGCCGCCAGCGGGTGGACCTCCACCCGCCGGGCACCCGCTGAAATGTTGGTACAAACCGTGGTGTTTTTCCCCATTTGATGTTTCCCCGTGTCCCGTTGTACCCCGTTTGTCGTGTGTGAGTCTAGTTTTATGTATCGGGTACCGTTCTTAGGATAAAAGAGTTTTGTGTATTGCATGCTAGTTGAATTGGTATCTCGTTAGCATAGGAGGAAGGTGTACGATCCCTTAGGAGTGTCATGAGTGGTTTAAGGTGGTGTGTTACCTATGAGTTATATTAGGATAAGTGTTCCCCGATGATTCCCCCTCGTTATGTGCTAATGTGGGTTGCATGTTGTTTGGCTTCTATGTTAATTGTGCATGATACCCCAATTGGTTGCGATCAATTGGCTATAATGACTATCTAATGGGTTGAGAACCATCAGGTATTAACCCGACCGGTTGCGATCGGTAGGCTATACAGACAGTTTGATGGGTTGAGAACCATCAGCTGTTATATATATATATATATATATATATATATATATATATATATATATATATATATATATATATATATATATATATATATATATATATATTGCTGCGGTCCATCATTTGGTTGCAATCAAACGTTATGATATAAATGAGCTGTGGTTCATCGATTGGTTGTGATCAATCCCCTTGTGCTGCGGTAAAAGTAGGGTGCTGCGGGGCCATGTCAGAGCTATATGCACTGACCTTCGTGTACGGGTACGTGAAGGGTCCTGCAGTATCATCATATGTGCAAACGTGTGTTATTGATTATGACTGAAATAGTAATTGGACATTGATATGATTGATATTGAATAGTCTTGTGACCTTAGGATGTGTGTTGGAATCTTTATATGCATGATTAATTATATTGAATGAATTTGCTATTGCTTGATTGAGCCTATTCTCGGTTTTAAATTAGAGTTTCATAAGTATATATGTATTCCGGCTTCAAAATGATTTTCCTTATATCTATCTATATTGTACTTAACGCGTTGGAGTGGGTTACCAGCATTATTCGATGAACAGATATATTTGGCTTTCAGGCACAGATGAGTAACACCGGCATCTTGGGCACCAACACCACGTTGGCCAGCCAGCCGGGGTAATTAACCTCCTGAATGTGCCCCGCGGCCTGTAACGTATCCGCCTCTTGTTTTACGAAGTCCTTGCGATCATTCGATAAATGCCTCCTTTTTTGAGCTAAGGGCTTGAGGTCGAGGTCGACCGCCAACCTATGCGTTATGATCGACTAGTCGACTCCGGGCATATCCTTTGGCCCCCATGCAAATATCTCCTTGTACTTCTTTAGAACTTCCATGATTGCCTGGTTCACAAAGGTGGGCAAGCCGATCCCAACTCGTACCCTATTGCCAGGGCGATCAGTCTCCAGGGTGATTTCATCTATCTCGACCGCGGGAGCTAGGCGCTCCACTGGCCGCTCAATCACCTGATGGGCGATGGTGTTTACACGGTCAAAGCCTTGCCAAACCCATCGACAGGCTTGTAAGGAACAACTTCAAGCCATCTTCTGATCACATTACACTATTCCGACGCTGGTCGGTGTGTGAACCTTCATACACAGGTGCTCAATGGAGATCAGGGTGCCCAAGTCTTCTAAACCTGGCCGGTCGAGGATGACATTGTGCGCACACTCCAGAGCGACTACCACGAATTCCATTTCCAACTTCCTCACCTGGGGCTAAGTACCCAATATGATTGTCAAAGAGACACACCCCTCCGGTTTGACCGCATCGCCAGTGAATCTGGCCAAGGGGGTCCTGACCGGTCGCATCTGTTCTGTTGGCAATCCCAATTTCAGGAAGGCTTCCAAGTATAACACGTTAGCACTGCAGCCCGTGTCAACCAATACCAGTCGGATGACTAAACCCTGGATGTCCATCGCGATAACCATGGGGTCTCGATGGGGCGTGGGGCCTCTAGTCAAGTCATCGTCTGTAAAGACGATCGGCTCTTTGCATGCTTTCTTGCGGTCTGGCTCCGGAAAGGCTATCGCTCCCACGTATAACTGTCTAGCGCGAGCCTTCCGGGCTCTCGCAAAATCACCACCCTCATGGCCGCCCACTATCATGTTTATCACCGACTTCTGTTTCCAGTTACTATCCCCGTTCTCTTGCATGGGCTGTTTACCCTTGTCTACGGCCTTCGTCTCGTCCCGATCAGGTATCCCCTTCTGCCCAGCTAGGCCTGGCCGACACCAGTAGTTGTGGGGTAGTGGGCGACCACACTTGATAAGCGCCTCAATTTCTTCCTTTAACCCTTTATATTCCTTTGTAGAGTGGGTGCTCGTCCGGTGGTATCTGTAGTAGGGAAGGGGGTTTGTACCGACCACCTAGGGCCTCTCACAAGGACGGATAGGCGGGGCGGAGGTAGCTAAGCGCGGACCTCGTGGACGGGCTGTGCCATCGGCTAGGAAGCAGGAGTTCCTAACCGATCCTGGATCCGGCGAGTCTCACACGAGCGCCCCCCGCGTGTGCTACTCGTTCCTTGTGGGAGTTATCCATCCGAGGTCTCTTGGCAGAAGAGGCTTCTTGCCTGCGTTTCTGCCTAACTGCCTCCTCGGTATCAGCCAACTGGTTGGCTCGCTGGATGGCTTCCGCATATGTTTTGGGATTCTCATCCTGCAGCCGACTATAATACCCATGCAATCTCAGGGACTCGGTGTAGAACGTCAGGGCTGTGTGGTCATCTGGTCGTCTAGCTCAAACTTTCCCCTTCGTCTTGATGCACCCTGGCAAGATCTGGATGAATTTCTTGGGTTTCATGCTCCCTGCGAAATGTGTCAAGAACTGGCTGGCCAATTCCTCGAAGGTATTGATGGATCCTGGGGGAGCCTTTGTAACACTCCCTTAAAAACATGCTATTTAAAAGCCTTAAACATGCAGATAACTGAACTAAACAACAAACACAGCGGAAGACTGAAAGATAGATAGATAGACATAATCCTGAACACGGGGTGTTATGCCACGTTCACCAAAAGGATGAACGCACCGGCAACATCTGCAATGTTTACATCTAAACCCATTGTCTCAAAGTTCTATATCTAAGCTGGCACACAGGCCACAAAACGAAAGGGAGAAGCTATACTAGCAAGCACTAGACCGCGCATTCGTCTAGACATCACCTGAAAGAACACAATAAAACATGGGACGACGCCCGGTCAACGAATAATACAGGTAACCCACCAATACATGTGAAATATCATACATATATAAAATATGAGTTGTAAAGCCATTTTCAAAACGGAATCCATATATATAAGTACAAAACCAAGAGTAATAGTCAACACAAGACTCGACACTCTCAACAAGAACACGGGAACACATCCCAAGATCACAAAGAACAACACGACTCACAAGAAGTCTCAAGGTATGATCTATCATCACACAATAGATCCAAAACCTGACATGCATAATGCAAAGGAATAAGACTCACCCACGGCAACACATGCCAAGGCAACACTTGCCCCTGTGACTACACACGTCACAAGAAGAGAATTCACAACAACGGCTACACAAGCCCTCGTGACATCACCCATCACGAGTTGATATGCCTTCCTTATGCCCGGTTCCAACCTTATGGCTACCCCCAACCTTGTATCTTCTTCCAACCATTACCTCCAGGACCCCTGTACTTCTTAGTCCACCTTTTCCCTCCTGGGACTGTCGTCCCCCACCAACAAACCACCAACAAAACCACCAATTTCATAGTACACGAGGGTACCGTACACACACACGGCAAGACATGCAACCCATGAATCACGTGAACCTTACACAAAGGTCACAACTCCATAATCACGCCACGGCCACTACGAGGACCGCTTCAATACCTTGGTGACTAGTGTCCCATACCACTAATCGTGCAATCCAGGTAAAGCCACGCACACATCACACCTCAACAGGAATCAATCAACGGATCACAACGAAGATATGAAACCATACTCAATCAAGGAATGGATCATAGTCCAACAACAACAACAACAAAAATGAATAACACAAGTTATCATCAACCAAGGAAGGTACAAATAACACACACGCTAGCATTTAAACACCGAACTAGCATGCTTATCAAACGGATAAACCAAACGTAGTTCCGAAGAACACACAAGACTCATCACGGTTCAACAAAACAAAATGTTGAACACTTAGCACGATTCAAGACACCAAAACCTACATGGAATCCCACCATAGAGTTCTAGACATACGAAACATCAAGAAGACACTCAAATAGTTCTACAAAAGAACAACGGGAAGTCAAAAGACCAAATACCGAGTCAAAAGAATCACGGGGAACAAATCCCCAAAAACATCACCACACGTACCCGCGGGTAGGCCCACGAGTAGGCCTCTACCCGCGGTTCTGCCCGCGAGTACAGGCTACCCAAAATGTGTACCCCGCAGGTGGGCGGCGGGTGGGACCCCTACCCGCCGTTCCGCCCGCGGGTACACCCCTGTACCACAAATAAATCCCTTCGGGGATTTTCAACTCCAAGCTCAAATTCAAGTCCAAAACATGCCAAATCTCACCGAATACAACGAAATGACTTGAATCAAAGGAAATTCCAAGCAATGGCACAAATGAACCTTAAACACAAGCTCTAGATATGCATTTTCACAAGACAATGCATAAACACTCACATTTCATAGCAAAACACATGTAGAATCCAAGAAATATTCACATAGGTAAGCAAAATAGATTTTGTAGAGCATGGGTTACCTCTTGTAGACTAAAGACTTCACATTACACCTCAACAAGCTCCTCTCAAGGCTCACCTTCCAAACCCACTTCAAGAACATACCAAAAGATCATAAAGATCCTATCTTTAAGAAAAGACACCTAAGATAAAACCAAAAACACAAGATGAACTTAGATCTTACCCTCCTAGATGCCCAAATATATGAAAGGTTGAATCTTGGAAGCAACTCTTGAAGTTTTGGCAAGGCTCCAACTTGGCTTGGAAGAAATGCTACCCACCTTTTTAGAGAGAAGGTGGAGCTAGATTTTTAGAAAGTGTAAGGAAAGAATGAAGGTGGTCTACTAGGTTAGGTTACAATACTAACACCAAGTGAAAGGTCAAGAATACCCTTACTAACATAAGGAAGTGTAAGGAACAATGGAACTCCTTACAAAGCTCAAGGTACAACTTTGACTTTGGGGTTGACTAGTCAATTACTAGTCCCCAACTATTAAATTTCAGGAATTTAACGAATTAAATTACAAATTGAAATAGGATTAATTACTTAATTAATCCCTTAATTGAATTTGGATTTCGGGGTGTCACAGCCTTTGGAACCATCCATGAGCCGACCCGACCAGCGTTGGGAAGAACGCCTGGCAACTCATCGGAGCGTCTGCCCCAATCATCTTCATCTTGGTCTGGTGATAAGTGTCAAAGACACACACTTTTAAGGTCCTTTTTGAGTGAATTCTAGACTTAAAGTAATCCTTTGTGTAGCAATTATGTGACAAATAGCTATGTTTTACATTACTTTGGAAATTACCGCCGCACTTTATGTTTTACAAGTTTTTAGGTAAGTTTCGGGCTTAAACGAGGCGAAGTGGCACAACCGGGGGCAAAGCGGAATAAGGAGACAAGTCG